ACCTCATGTTCAATGAATTCAAGCACTTGATTGGGAGCTCTGCCGATGAATGTCTTGGGATCCATAAGAGAGTCTATTTGGTCCTTAATGGGTCTGAAATAGGGCTCATTCTTGACGCGATCAATCAAATCGTTGTTCTTTCCGTATCTCTTGACCTGTTCTGCGGCCTCGTGTGAGAGGACACGTATCTTCTCGTGACACACCTGTCGATTGCCTCCAGACTTAACCATCGCTACAATTATGTTCTCAGTGGCCATAAACGGCAATTCCTTTAATAATACATTTATTTAATGAACAAAATATGGCACTAGTAACTCATATCAAAGGAATACCTCTCGAATATGTTTGTTAATAATGGCCGGGTATACGACTATGCCTTCGGTCACGTTTTGCAAAGTGGTTAACACGATATCTTTAATGAAAAACAGTTCATTAGATGAATATAAAGACATTTGAAAACAACTCCAATACCGGCCGTCAAGAATGCTTCGGGAAGAGAGATGCGACGATTGGCGCTGTCGTCAAGAGTTCTTTCGAGCCATTGAGTTGAGGCAGTGTTGAGGGCATCGGTGACTAAAGTCATGAGATGTCTGGCCAGTGAACAGCAGCGCTCGCTTCTCATTGGATTGCGTTTGTAAGGCATAGCAGAGGAACCGATTTGTGTGCTCTCGAAGGGCTCTTCGATTTCTTTTCTGTTCGCCAGAAGACGAATATCAGTGCATATCTTGTGAACTCCAGCGCCCAATAGTGACAGACTGGTCAACACTTCCGCGTCCACAAGACGTGAATATGTCTGTCCAGTGACAGGATATGCCTTTTGGAATCCCGCCATTTGGGTCACCAATTGATCCAATTGTTTGACTTTAGTCTCATCGCCATTGAAAATCTGCAAAAACGACGCCTGAGTGCCAGTCGTGCCCTTACATCCCCTGAAAGACAGGTTATCTCTGGTTCTCTCCATATTCTTGAGCGCAATGAGCAGATCATAGATCCAAAGAGTGGCGCGTTTGCCGACTGTAGTCATAGACGCCGGTTGGAAGTGAGTGAAGCCAAGAGTTGGCAAATAGTTGTACTGTTGCGCGAAATTAGCCAATCGGTGGACACAACGACTGAGTTTCGGCAAAATTATATTAAACGCGTCTTTCATGAGAATGAGATCCGTGTTGTCGCCCACAAAACAACTCGTGGCTCCCAAATGGATAATCTTCGCCGCATTGGGACACTTGGAGGCGAACTCATTGAGGTGTGCCATCACATCGTGACGAGTCTTCTTCTCCTCCTCGGCCACGAACTCGAAGTCAATGTTCTCGCAGTTCTGCTCCATCTCATGGATCTGTTGATCGCTGATATCAATGCC